GCACCTGATACCAAATGCAGATCAATACGAAGAATAATTAGAAAATTCTGAGGGAGATGAGATGTCTAAGGATGAGATGTGGACGTGTGAGGTGATGAGATGTTGAATTTACACTGGAAGAATTGCACGATATCAGTCACCAGGTTATAAATCGATGGTGAAATACGTAACAATCTTTATCTTATCTTAGACAAATATCTAAATTTTATATTCCATCACTATAAAATTAAAATAATATCAGCGCGTTCACACAAAGCTCGGCAAGCAAGCTTGACAATCTAACATTGAGAGATCCATTTACTGTTGTAAATACTGCGGAACCTACACCTATCGGAATTTTCACAACCGACAGCCTACCCACATTCCTCCAATAAACCTTCCTTACGTCATGCCGCATTCCCAGCAAAATATCTACGTCCTTAAAAGATCTTAACAACTTTGCATTTTTGAATGCCCCACACGTCCTGGTTAACATCGTTTTTGCAAACAGGAATGTAAAAACGCCTACGGATACTAAGAAAACAAGCAAAGAACCGTGCATGAAATGTCCCAAACGTACTGTAACAAATGTAATTGTTACTAGCGTAACGGTCCCGACAAATATTACCATTACTAAGGTCACCTTCAGGCCATCCTCCACGGCTTGGAGGGCCACTTGCATCATAACATAGTACATAATGTGGGAGTGGAACTGCCCGGCTTGAATTCTTCGTCGATTTATTCTCACAATTTTCGTAAGCTGCTCTACTATCGTGCTGGCAATGTTGATAGTTATATACACTGCTCCAATCAAGATAGCCATTATGCGTTCAACCTCATAAAGTGCGGAGGTCATGGCAAAAAATCTTCCCACTAATAGGAAAACGTTAAAAAGGAGAGAGTTATTGAAGGTCACCGCACGCACAAGAACGAATATAAAAGGGTATGCGGTCCTAGCATATTCGACAATGTAGAACTGCGGATCGAGTCCTCGAACCATCAAGATAACTGTAAGTAGCGGCGTGAGGAGGTATCCAGCCCAGAGAAAAAGTTTGAGACCAAGGAGAATAAAGGTGTCAAGTAGGGTATCACCCTGGCCATTTGACTGCATTGTTGGTACATTAGCTGAAATGCAATTAATTACGTCAATCAGAATTTTTAGCATATTTATCAGGCTTAAAAATTTAGGTTAAGAAATGTTGAGAAATTTCTATTAGAAATATATTTTGAGATAGGACATAATCACTGTTTATGCCCCTGGCTCAGAGTAAAATCTGGCTATGCGCGTATGAAATTTTAATTACCTTTTTTTAAATTCAATTCTAACTGGAACATCTCATTCGCCCAGAAAATAGTGGTCTCCTTCCCCTTAATCTCCCACAAATAATAGAAAAAGGCTCCACAAAAGGAAATAAGGGTAATACAAGACCACGCCCAAATTCGTACATCCATCAATGCCCTTGGCGACGCTGGCGCTACAATTGACATCGCTCGTCCACACGCGTATACAATTCCCACCATGATTAGCACTGGGAACACGGTTTGTAGCGCGTCAAATTTGCGCTTCACACGACTCAGGCTTATTCGACCATTCGTCAGGCAAATATAAATTGCAGGTTTATATAAAAACGGGTACCGATCGACGAACAATTTTTGCCCCAGCATCGCAAGCCTGTTGTGTTTATCCATAATTTCTGTAAGAAACTGGTCAAATTTCAGTCTGAACTTAGTTCGTGAAGCAAACGCAACCGCGGCCAGCACAGTGTATCCTGCAGCTCGAAAATGCATTTGTGTTCCTGAAAAAGTACAAATTTACCTATATATTTTTAAGAAATTGCGCAGTATTTATGTACCTATGACAATTTTAAAACGACAATGAAGCTTATGAAATATCGCTTGAGTCACATATGTAAAACTTCTCCCACTAAAATTGGTAGGCTTTTGATTAAACTTTCATTAAATTAAATAATTCGGAATATTAAACTTGACAGAATATTGATCGACTTTTGATCGAAGCCGTGGAATATCTATTTAAAACATTGATTATGAAAGCTGCTAGGTTTTACCAATAATTTCTTAAAATATTTATTTCGTGGCTTAACTAGGTTAGAGGGAAGAAGTACGCAGTCTAATTTATATAAATTGTATTTGCTGAATAAATTTGACAGATCCCGATGTCAGAATAGAACAATTCTATCCCGGATATATTTTTCTACATTTCTACATATTTTGCCTATTTATGCCCTCCGAAATATTTTCTAAACAATTTCATAACTTTATTAAGAACCCAATTGGGAAAGTTATTGTTTAACAAACCTTAAGCATTTAAGTTAGAAGTTTTCGTAATTTTTCCAGATCAGGGAAACTCAATTAGTTTCTAAATTTTGTTAAGAGTTCGTTTTCATTTATCATGACAAACCAAATTAAGCTAAATTGGGAACAACGATAGATATATCCATGTCATATGTAGTGGTTTATTTTTTAGACCCAAACCAATTATTGACATTTGAAGAATTTATAATTTATAATGGCCAAAAGATTACTTAACGTCCCGAATGAGGAGAAAATTATGTGTGTATATAAAACTGCCCTCGATTTTCAGACAATTGGATTTCTGGGATATTAAAAGCATAGATATGTAAATATGTAGAAGAATAACCCTGGGGTTTTTGGGTATGCATGTGGTTTGTTTTAGCTTACGGAGTAAATGATAAATGTGTTAGGATGGCAATACTGAATTCAATAAACTACTAAAGAACGTCCGGGAATGAATGGGAATGCGCGCTCTAGCGAGTATATTGACAAATCAATAAACCCGCGAACTATAATAATTTAAATTTCTGAAAGCCCACTTCATTAGGGTCAATTTGGTATATCACTCTTAAATTTCAAAAATGGATAAGGGTAGAAGAAGCTTGTTTGAAAGGGAGCTGTTAGCAAAACGAGTGATGGAGTTCTACAACACGACAGCCAACCGAGACTCCAAGGTGACCTGGAACTTTTTTAAGCAGGAAGGAATTCCAAGTTCAAATGTGTATTCCTACATAAAAAAGTTCAAGGATTCCGAAAATGTGCAATTCAAGAAGCCAGCTGGTCGTCCGGCGAAGCTAGCGACCACTCGAGTGAAAAATAGAATTGAAAAAATTTTCAAAACCAAGCCATCAACGTCAGTAGCTGTAGCTGCCAGGAAAGTCAAAATTTCCAAAAGCTACCTGGGGGAAATTAAGGTCCATAAATTAGGAATCAAAGCAAGGACCAAAAAACCTGCACCAAATTACAAGCCCGTACAAGAAAGTCGGATCAAGGATTGCTGTCAAAAATTGTTGAAGAAAATGCGTGGAAAAGTAGTGATCCTGGATGACGAAACGTATGTTCCGGTTGACCCTTCAAATCTTCCAGGGCGTCATTTTTTTCATAGCTCGGATCCCTCTGAAGTGGCTTATGAAGAAAAAGTACGAAAAAAAGACAAATTTCCAAAGAAATATTGCATTTGGCAATGCATCTCCAGTCACGGATATGTATCAGACCCGGTAGTTCTCGAAGGGAATATCAATCAAGATATTTATCTGAAAAATTGCGTCAAGGCTGGATTGGAAGCATTTATTAATAGGTTTCACAAAAATGATAAAGTTTTGTTTTGGCCTGACCTCGCCACTTGTCACTATGCAAAGAAAGTGACCGAGTACCTCAGAAAGAAAAATATTGATTTCGTACCAAAAGATATCAACCCACCTAATGTACCCCAACTCCGCCCAATCGAAAAATTCTGGGCACGTTCTAAGTCAGTATACTCCCGGCTTCAAGATGTGCCTGACACCTTTCGAAAATTCAAAGGACGATGGAAGAAAATCACCTCGGAAGTGGCAAAAACTTCGGGAAAAAATTTAATGAAAAATCTTCGCAAGAAAATCGAACTAGTCGCCAACGGGGGTGTGGCGGCCTTAGCTATTAATTAAATTATGTAGGTACGTATTTGGTATTATACATATGCAAAAAGTTTAAAATTCCGATAACTAATTGTGATTTTATGACCACATTTTCAGACCATTCCCATTCATTCCCGGACGTTCTTTAAGTATCTTGCTAAGTTTTTACGTGATGTGAAGGAATAAAAACACTAGATGTCGGTTTAATTTACCAAATTAAACTGACTCAGAATGCGCAGGCATGCCGTAGTTTTCTCTAATCTTGATAATATGTACTTTGGGTTGAGGGCAGAAGATAACTTGGTTTTGACATGTCGATGTCGGTACCTACAATGTGACATTCTAGCAAGAAAAACACAAATGCAGGGGAAAGTTGTGGTGGAAAAAAATACATGTGTTACATAGGCGACGTTCATAAATTATGTATATAACGCGAGAAGGGGATATGGTCTAAAACTTCAATAATGTCGTGCGTACATATTTAAAAAGTGTTAAAGGGTCTAGAAAATGGCGATTTGTCTGTTACATAATTTATGTGCGTCCCCTAAAACATGACCATGCATATCTTACTACTCGATTGATGCTATGCCATGGGTACATAATTTCCGTAATAAGTTAACCAGTTGCCACAAAATTTCATAGTAGGATAAGAATTAATTTTCCTTGTGTATCGACTATGACATGAATTAGGATTTTTTTGCATTTATTTAGATATTTTCAATTTTAAACCCGTTGTAACGGAATGTCATATTAACCTCTGTAATTTGTTATAGGCAGGCAGGATATTAATTAATATCCTGAAAGGAGGAAACCGAAAAACAAAAATTTGATAATATGAATCTTGTTAAACACCGGATGTAACTTTACCACCACGTGGCACAATGATCAATTTTTTAGTGCCGGTCAATATGGATATTTTAAAATGTTGTTCCGGTCTGCAACATCACAATGAAATATTCAAACAACATAATTAATTAACACTTGATAATTTTATAGTTGACAATTTATTGTTAAAAGTACATATCTATGAAACTTGAACGATAAGCGCAACAATTAAAGGAAATATGGAATGAATGGATGAATGATAGATGAATAAATGGATGAATAAAGGAATTTTATTACAATCCTGATGTGTTAAATGAGCCCAAAAATATTTATGCTAAGGTGGCTGCATAAAATAAATACATATTAAGAGAATGAAATTAATCCTAAAATTAAGTAATTCAATCGGTAAACTGAATTAGTTTCCGGTAAAACTCCTCCTGCCCACGAATCCTATCAGGTAACTCGCTTTGGAAAGCATCCTCATCTTCCAGCTCACCTCCCAGCGATTTTGGCAGGATTGTAGGGTACAAATATTCATGAAGCTGGGGAAGATTGGAGTGAACAAAAATCTGCGCAATGTTAGAAATAAATATTTTAGATAAAAAGTCTCCTTTTTATGATTTTTCCAAATTTTCCTACCCGATTTGCAATCTTCTCTGGCATGAATTTCTTAACAAGTCGTACCAGCAACTCAATCAATGATCCGCCATTAATTAAATGGATTGCTGCGGGTCGAATGGGGACACTTTTCTAAAAATCAATGCGGTATAGCTACATATGTACATAGAGCAAACATTTGAACAATTACCTTGTAAAAAATTGGCCCATTTTGTGCAAAAATTTGGCAAGATATGCAAAAATTTGGCCCAAATGTATGTAGAAAAACCCAATGCAGAATTAGGCACATATATATGTACGGTCTGCAGAATGAATAAATGTTTTGCACGATTATGCAAAATAAATTCTGTCGATTAAAACATGCATTGAATTTTTGTCGACTATTACTGCAGAATTTAACGCGGAGACTTTTACTCGGGTTACTGCTACATATTTCTCTGAAGTACATAATAATTTCTCACCAAAATAAAGTCCAGGTTTAACATGGCAGCCCTGGGCGTGACCTGACTCGCTTGACCAACCGTCCACCCATCAAAGTTAATGACGAGGACGATTTCATTGCTTCCCGTAGCCTTCAAGTAGCTTCGAAGCATTTCGTCAACAATGAAGACATGCTCGGCTATGGTGTCGTACAAGGTGTGGGTTTTAGTGTTCCATAATTCTATAAAAAGTTTGCAAGTTAGGTAACGTTTTTTGTGACTTAACTACTACAATGCGTAATAACTTTAAACAAGGGCTCAGAGGGTATCATGGATACTGGATGTTTGAATGTGGGAGGGTTTAGAGTTTAGAGACAGACAGTTTAGAGTGGATATATGGATACTGGAACACGGGAGTTTGAAGTAGATATGGATTTTTGGATATAAGGAGAGAGAATTAATATTGGATCTAATTTGGATATCGGGAGGCGAGAATTGATATTAGATATGGATATTGATATTCGAATATATGGGGACAAGAATTTATGTTGGATATGGATATGGATATTTCGATATTGAGGGGAGCTAATTTATATTGGGGGTGGATATATGGATCTCAGAATTTAGCCTGGATATTTATACGGATATTTAGGGATTTTTACCCGATATCCGTCTAGCACTGGATTTCATACTGTCTGATTTGCTTACTAGTTTGTCCAAATACGACAGCTCTCCCGTTATGATCCAACCGCTGCAAGATATTGATCCCTCTGTTCTCCAAAATCGTGGCGTTTGACGGAAGCAAGTATTTTTTCGTGAATTGGGCATGTTTTACAGTCCTGATAATGATGTACCGTTCCAGCTAAATTGGTGCATATGTATTTATGTAATGTGCGACAAATATTTCAAATCCTCTAATTCGTTCTAACACGCATTTGGTGTTTTTCATAGATAAATTTTGCATATTACTCTGTACCAAGGGATTTTAATATTAGACAACCTTTAGTTCATTTAATCTATATCTGAGACATCCTATAAATACATAGTAAAAAAAGTTTCTTACACATTCCAAAGCATCGCGTACAATGAACTTCTTCCCACGGAGGAATCCAACGAGTAGAGGGTCGTCAAAAATATGTTGGAAGCGAGAAAGGCTCCCATGTTCTAGAATAATATTAGAAAGAAACTGGTCTTATTTCCTGGAAATAGTTCATTCTTCACTATTTTTTACCGGCAGAGGTACTATGCAATTCTATCACTTATGTAGGTAATAATTTATCACCGAAAGGTAACAGAGGCTAAACCCTGCTTAAAATATCAACATTCTGGTAATACATAAAAACCAATTTACTAGATATAAATCTAAATTCTACACTTGAACAGTATATGTATGTATAACTTAATCAACCCAATATACCTACACTTTTAGGATTAGTATTATTTTTATATTTCATTTCTAAGAGTGTACTATTTCCTAAGTAACTAAAATTTTCTGGGTCACCTGCAATTTCCAACTTCAATCGAACCAATTGATTATTTCTGTGTTCGGACTCCATTGCAAGAGGAATGAATGGCAGACACTTATTTATAAGCTGTCCAAAATAATTTGCTGCTAGCTTAATTTCAAAATTATGGAACGAAGCTGAAACCTTGACTAGTCTCAACGAGTCGGAAAATAGTGTGCTGGTGGAACAATTACTTGTTTATCAGACATCATTACACATATTTTTGTTGGATTTACAAAGATAACGAGATTTTAATTATCAATTTAGGAACAATTTTCCTCATCAGTAATTCGTACTGCGTAATGCCTTTGACTTTCATGCGTACATACGTCTGTATATACATATGTATACACTCTCAAAAATAATAAGCGTACTCGAGTTAACCTTTGCATATCTCGCAAATTGGGCATAGCCTCATAACTTGCCAGGTTTTTCGAAATTTGCCAAATTCGAAAGAATTTTGGTGGGAAAATATAAGATTTTTTTCGCCAATTTACGAAGCAATTGGGCATAGTACCTCGCAAACTCATCCTTACTACCACGGGCAAGAGAAAATACAGAAATCTATGTAAATATTAATATCAAAATTAGTAGTTTTGCGAGATTTGTAAATTTACGAATAATTTTCATCACCAGAAACTTGCACAACGCACTGTCAAGATGATTTCTGGCTATGCCCTTGATTTGCATACGGATGTATGTATATACACTCTAATTAATTTTGTGATAATATTGCTACCGGCGGAGGTACTACGTAATTCCACTAATGTGATGGGTTAAACGTCTCATTGAAATGGAAATTTTTTTAAATAATTTGCAAAAGTTTGCAAATTTCTTTTAATTATCCAAGTCCTGTGTATGAACTTCACCATCCTAACAAATTTGTCATTTCTGGGGAGCAAATATGTACAGGGTGTTAATAAAGTCCGATCCCATTTTTCCTGTAAAAAAGTGAAGGCTAGTATAAAAAAAAACTACCCGTGATACTTACAAAAAATGTTCGACATATTTACCTCAGTATTTGGTCTTGTTACCATTTACTTTAACCATGCCCTCAACTCTTTGTTTAAGGCTCTGTGCTAATTTTTCCAATGTGCCTCTGGAAATCGAATTCCATACATCTTGAACTTTTTTTACTAGCTCTTCCCTCGTCCGGGGTTGTGGCTCTTTGTATACATTTTCCTTAAGTATGGACCACTGGTTCTTCAGGGGATTCAAATCTGGGCCGTTAGCGGCCCACACCCCCTTGCTCCCGACCGTTGAAACTTGCGTCTTGATGAGACTCAAACTCGCTTTTGCTGTATGGGCTATAGCACCATCCTGCATGAAAACTATTTTTCTTTCATTCGGAAATATTTCCTTGTTCCCCATGCTATCGAAATAGATAGGTAATATTTTTTCCATATAATGCTTTGCATTGACTGATTTGCCTTTTGGTATGATATGTAGAGGGGTCACGCAACGTGCACAAAATCCACCCGCTACCATAACTTTAAGCCCGAATTTTGGGATCGCTCTTGATGGTACATCCGATTTGTTTTCTGTCCTGTAACGAACATTTTGTTGGTTCAATTTTGGATATAGTTCAATAATAGATTCGTCAGTCCAAAGGATGTGACTGCGCAATTCTTCACCAAGTCTTTTTTCACTCAAATGGGCACTTTTCTGAAGGAGTTCTTCAAATTTCAGACGGTCATCGATATATTTTTGTGACATGAGAGGTTTTTTTGGTTAGTTTGTAAGCTGTGTGACCCCACTTCGTAGTTTTCACAAATTTTTGCACGGTCACACAGTTAATTTGCTTCTTCTTCTCTTTATAGCGTTTTGAGTCATTTAACTCCCTTGCTCAATTACGTAATGAACTACCGGTTTTCTTGCAAAGTCTGTTTTTAATCATTCTTTTTGTGGTAGGTGACACCTTTCTGGGTCGCCCTGGTCGCTTTTTGTCGTGGACAAAATTTTTATTCTTCCATTTCCAAACAGTTCTGCGGCTGCAGCCCAATTTTTGCACAATTTCTGTAGGTTTAAGCCCCTGCTGATGCAATGTTTGTATCTCAACTCTAAGATGCTCATGACTTACACGTTTAGTTGTTCCTCCCATGGTAAAAATTTGAAATAAATAACTTCACTGGTTCAAAAGTTCCAGCTGAATTTGTAACAACCACGCTCCAAAAAATGCATGGGATCGGACTTTATTAACACCCTTTATAAAAATGCACATATGTATCTTTTTTGCATTATTGCGTCAAACTAAAGTCTATGTAAATTTGTAATACGAATAAATATAAATTGAGTAAAAACTAAAACCTTTAAAGAAGTGCAATAAAGGGGTGAAACCAAGAAACAATAACAAAAATCCGTTGAGATTCGGTTAATTTTACAAGATATATCACAGATTTAATATTTAGTGACATTTCAGTGACCTCTAATCGACCTCTGAGATCAAAATGAAGGTGGACATTGAATATTGAGTTAAATTTCCTGTTAGCTTGACGTAGGTATGAATGCATCGCATATCCCATCTAACAGCTGGTGACATTTATGTGACCTTTTGACCTTGGCCTACGGGGTAGTATGCAAGTTCTCGCCCGTAAGTTCTCGCCTATACAAGTTCTCACCCATACTAGTTCTCACCCATGAAAATTTTTCCCCATCCTCAATTTTATGTGAAAGAGGGTTCCAGCTATGCTTATCTCATGAAATTGTATCACTGATGAATGGTAAAACCAATATGACATTTTGGTAGAGAGGCTTATGGGTCTTAATGGAAAAATATGGAATGAAATTGGTAAAATTTTTATCAGCAGCGATCCTACATACAGGGTCATCCATACCGATTTTTAGAAGTTGGTTTAAAAATATGAAATCCGGCACGGTGATACTTAATGCTTCTTATGAAAGAATATGAAGCTAAAAGTGAGCCAAGTGCAACCAGAGTGACCCTAGCGGGTGACCGAGCTGAAATTTGGTATGAAGTAGGGTTGCCCCGGGTACCGGGTAGTTACCCGGTACTCGGCATACCCGGCCTGTTTTGGGATACCCGGTACCCGGCCGGGTATACGTAAGTACCCGGTCTACCCGGCCGGGTAATTTTAATATTCAATTTTCTTACTTAAAATGCGAAACCTTACAAAAGAAATATAATCCGATGGATTTCATTTTGTACTTGGCACAAAATATATATTTGGAAAGGATGGGTACAATCTTGGCTAACACTTATTTGGAAATTATTGCAAATTTTAAAATTACTTTTAGCACACTCACGTCAACGAATTATCAATCCGTCAATTTGCATATTTCACATGTTAAGCATAACTTGCGAAGTTTTTAGAAATTTACAAGATTTCTCAAAAAAACCTTTGTAAAAAAAAGTTTTAAAACTTGTTTTTTCGTAAGATTATTTCGCAGACAGATCCTTGCGATCATCAGGGAGAAAAATTGCGAACATCCATGACAAAAAAAATAAAGATAGACGTCTTTAGTTGATTTGCGAGACTTTCGAAGTGATATCTTGCGATAGATTCGCAGGATATCACCACGAGAGTCTCACAAAATTTGTTTTATGCCGGGATGAAACAACTTATTTAAGCCTCACAAGTTTTCTAAATGATTGCGATAATAAATAAAGCATTGCTGTGAGTACGCTCTGCGTGTCCCACAGGATTAATTCATATATGTACTATCCACTTTCTAGCCCGAATAATTAGCCCTAGAAGTTGAAATTTTTACCATATGCATATTGGACAAAGATATACGAAACAAGAATATAGGCTAACATATAGGCTATTTCAAACATAGGCTGCATCGGCCACCTAATTGCCTGTGGGAGTCGTATTGGTGGATTGGGGGAGCAAAGTAAGTGTAACAGTAAAAAAGGCGACCCACATCAATTTTTACAAAATATTACTTTCGTCTGAAATTGGGTATGGGGGTTAAAAATGAAGTCTGCTCTGTAATTTTTAGTTTTTCTGTAACTTGTAATTTTTAAAACTTACAAAATTATGGAAAATTCTTGAAAAAGTGGAAAAATTCCTGTTATTTTTAATATCTAAATATTACCCGGTACCCGGTCGGGTAGCCGGGTACCCGGCAAAAATTTTAGGCCGAGTACCGGGTAGCCGGGTACCGGGTAGTACCACTACCCGGGGCAACCCTAGTATGAAGGCTAAAAAAACACTTCTGGATAGCTGTGTTCAAGTTCAAGATGTTAAATACGCCCACCGATCCTGATAGTAACTGAGAAAAATTTGTAAATCCTTCAAAAATTTGGTGCCAAATAACAGAAAATATCTAACAAAGATTTAACCATTCACACTACAGAGCTTGGTAATATTATGTCGGTCAAATCGGAGAAGCGGGTTGTGACTCATCGAGTCAGGGACTCTGTCGCTGACTCGGGATAAATGAAGTCTGCACTGTAGGGTTTGTATAATAAACTTCCAAGATTTGAATTATTGAAACAGGTAGACTTGTCAGTTTATTTGGTTAATCATTCTAAAATTTCTAAAAGTTGATATAATCAGCTGAAATTTAGAATGCAGTCGAAAAATGTCATATTGGTGTTACCATTTATCAGTGATACAATTTCATGAGCTAAGCATAGCTGAAACCTTTTTCACATAAAATTAAGGATGGGGAAAAATTTTCATGGGTGAGAACCTGTATGGGTGAGAATTTACATACGGTGAAAACTTGTGGGCGACAATTTACATCAAATTCACCTACGGTGCCCGTGTTGGAATTTGACCTTTGTGTTTATATTAATTTCAATTAAAATTATTAAACCATTCTTGAGTTATCGTTCGGACAGACAGACATATAAAGATCGGTCCTAATGGTATCGGACTGACGAAATAAAATGCTCAGAACTTTTTACACAGTTACACAGCATGTAATTTCAAAAAAGTTGCATATGTTTACTACCAAATGCTACAGATTGCAGTTTCCCATTTCGCGTCAAATTCCGCCCATAGACTGCACCTACTTTCAAGCTGATTTTCTTCCATCTGTTCTTAAATTTTCGTAAGGTGTCTGGCGTTTCTGAAAGCTTAGAATATTTGGACTTAGTCAGCGCTCAGAATTTCTCAATTGGTCGCAGTTAAGGAAAATTTGGTGGGTTTCCATTTTTCGGCACAAATTCAATTTTTTTCAGATGTCGGAACTGAGTGACCTTTTTGGCGTCCTGGGACGTTGCGAGGTCAGGCCAAAACAAAACTTTATTTTTTATGATCTTTGGTAATAAACGATTCCAATCCCCCTTTAATGCATGATTTAAGATAAACCCCCTGGTTTATAGTACCCACCAAAATAACGGGATCGGAAACATGACCAATGCTAGACATGCGTCGCCAAATTCTTCATATTTTTAATTTGTCTTTCTTTTGTACTCTGCCTTCATAATTTACTTCACAGGTGTTGGAGCTACGGAAAAAATGCCTTCCTGGAAGATTTGAAGGGTCAGCTGTGACTTAGGGCTCATCGTCCATGATGACCACATTCCCCGAATTTTCTTCAACCATTTCTTGCATCATATATGAATCATTTCATTTTGTGTTGGTTTGGAACTTGGTGCTGGTTTTTTTCCGCTGGCTACAATCCCTAGTTTATGGACTTTGATTTTGCTTAGATAGCTTTTTGAAATCTTGACCTTCCTTTCCGCGCCAGCCATTGTCGTTGATGGATAATTTTTGAAGATTTTTTTATGCGATTTTTGACTTTGGTCGTCGCTAGCTTTACAGGCCGACCAGTAGGGACTTTGAATTTGATGCCATTGGATTCCTCGTACTTTTTTATGTATTAGTAGACGTTGGATTCAGAAATACCTTCTTGTTTAAAAAAGTGGCACGTAGTTTTGGAATCACTGTTTGCTTTATTTTTATGAAATCCAATCAC